ATTCCGCGCGGTTGCAAAAGTGAAGTAACTTCTGTCGGAAAGATAAATAAAAATACACTAACGTAAAGTGAACATTTTCGCTTTTGAAAACAACGAATGACTAAAAATAAAAAAATAAAAAATTATGTTTGAAGTAGCGCTAAGTTCAATAGCAAAAGCAAATCGTGGAAGACACTCTCATTTTCTCGGTTAGCAGTGTGTGGGAATGATTGAAACAGGCGCGCCAGGTGCAAGATAAATAGGTTTTCCTGGACGAGTTGTGTGCGGCTATGCGGCTAAACGTAAAGCCCTTTCGGCATCTTTTAGATGTGCATGATTCATGTGATATGTGGTCGTCTAAGATATGTGTCTGTCTGTCTATTTCACAGGGGTTATAAATCGTTCAACACGATCATCAACACACGACGGGGTCATGTGCCCGACGGAAGACGGGTGGAGGGGAGGCGGAAGGTAGACGGGGGAGTAGAGCTTCTGCTTATTTGCGTGATCAGCTGTTCGAACTTTTTTTTTAGGAAAAGACTGCAAAAAGGTGATATATAGTTTACTCAAGTACATTTTTGCAATGACGAGTTGTTGCTGTTCAGTCTCAATTCCTCTTCCTCTTGACTTTTTCATTAATACCTAGTTTAGTTTGACATGAAGCATCATAAAACCTTTTTTAGGAGGAATGTTGCAGTAAAAGTAAGAAAAGATTGCGTCTGAACAATGTCTGAGTTTGTACGGCTTTTTTGCCAAGCAGCAAAACGGAAAGCATCAGATGGGAATCGAACCTGCGACCATCTGCATGCAAGACCATCACACTAACCACTACACCACGTAACTCTCTGCGCTGCGGTTCTCCATGACGCCGGCGGGCAACAGCCAAACTCTGCTCCTATAAACCCTTGTAACTTCCCATTCAGAAATGATTCACGAATAAGGAGAACAGATTTGGAGTCAGCATTCCAGGCTCTTTCAGATGGTATGCATCTCTTTCGAAAGGCCATAAACTCACCATTGTGAGATCATAGCCGAGGACTGCATGATGCTGACGTGATTTGTCTCTAATCAAGCCAGCTACTCGTTTTGCCAAAAAAAACTTTTTAATAATTTTTTAATCTATTTTACCACTATTTTCTGGACAAAAAGATTCTCTTGCTGTGGTCACATTGATCTCATAGCTTTATTCCTTATGTGCATTTACAGTGGTCCGTAGTATTTCTGAATTGAAAAAGCAAAATGAAAACAATCCCGTATTGATATCATCTTTCAAGAAAAAATCATAAAGGTCTCATTTTTGACAATATTGTCTTAATCCCATTCAGATCGCGGTGATCCAAAGCCGGCAAAATTTCCGTAGGTGCATCCAGCATTCTAATCGAAGCCGACCTTAACGTTGGCCAAATGGATGAGCTATCCGAGCCGCCTTTCTGTAGTTCCAGAGCTGAGACGAAATGCTCCACTGCTTCTCTAAAGTGTCTCCATTCTTGGTAACAAGCTGGAAGAAAACGTGCTCTAACTCACCGATAACTATTCAGATGCATGCAGCTGATTCCAAGGTTGTATCGTGCTCGAACATAAGTCGGATATCGCT